CATCTGTCCCTTCTCACACACACTGATGATTCAAACCTCCACCTTCTAGCCCAGCCATTCTCAGTGAGGAGCATATGATCTTCGACACATTTGAAGGGGGCCACAGACTGGAAATAATTCTTCACACACCACCTTATAAGATTTTTATGTAACTTCTACAATTCGGATTCAGCCTATATTTCTTTCATATTCTGTTTATTGCCATGGTTGGAAAAAAAAAAGGCTGAGAACAACTCCTTTAGCCCCATGTGGAAGTCATAAATCTTTTTTCAGCCTCTGCAGTCCAGCAGGCAGTATGCAATGCAATAAAAGAGCATAAGTGAGACATGTCTCAGAGAACACAATAATGAATCCAAAATGACATAACATGTTCTTGGAGGGTACTGTTAAACCTGAAAGCAAGAATTTAGCCAGGGTTGTTATAAGGAAGAACGGAACCTTCCAAATGCATCCTTAAGCACAACGGAATGAAGAGAGAAGCCTACTATGATTATTCTTGACTATTACTCTTAGCATCTATATAATTTTACACTGTCAAATCTTTTATAATGAAGTTTGCTACAGCTCAACAAACTAAATCAGCTTTATGTTACATTTATTACGTTTACCCAAAAAAAATTTTTAAAAAAGGAATGCAGAGACACCAGTTTGATTTGTTCTGTCATTGACATTTCCCAATTAAGGGATATTGGGCAAAATCTAGATTTCTATATGTCTGGTAGAAACAAAATCTGTGTCATGCAGCCATCAGAAGGTGGCATTTCAATATGGGAGACAAGTCATGCTTATTTATGAAGACCTGGACAAGTCATTCTCTGTCTAACGTACTCTGTCTAACGTACTCACAAATGTGTCATACAGAAACAAATTGGTTGAAGCCCTAACAAGAAGTTCAGAATACAAATGTAGATTCATTACAAACAGAAGCCTTTTTAAAATTGGAAGATGGCTACAGAATGTAACCAAAAATGACTGAGGAAACTGTAGAAGCTATGTATTGTGGGTGAGCTGGACTTAGACAAAGCATACATTTCATAACGCCAAATTACTTAATTGAGATAGCAACAAGCTTCACCACCAACAAAAACACCCCATTTTACTACTGGTTCAACAAGTTGAGCAGCAATCTCCCTAGAAACAAGGCTGTTCGCTTAACAGAGAGAGCCCATCTGTTTCATTCCTGCTTTCTCACTGGCAAGGTTAGCATTCAGCTAGTTCCATTGTCTAACGTATCAATTATTGAAGCTCCCTACTAGATCAGTATCAAGCTACTATGCATCTAATGAAAGGCACCCAAGACTGTAATTAAAGAACCAGTGGAAAAGACGTCTATAATTGAAAGAATGCATACAGTATCTATATAAGACATACAAGGAATACTAAAATCAGGACACTTGAAACTCAAGAGGCTCTTATCAGAACACAATCACAAAGAGCTTAGAATAATCTTAGAATTCTCTTTTCACTGAATTGAGGAGGGAATAAACAGAACATGCTTTCAGAAATCTGCAGTATGTTTTGACTCAGGTTCTACATAATGTGCTCAACAATTTTTTTCCAAAGGGGCATCACAAGCCTTCTACTCCACTGACTCCTGTACTGTTTCCTTCACCATGAACTCCAAACACTATGCTGTGGTAGTTGGAAGCCCAGACATACCTTTTTTTACTACTTGCAAGCAAGGAGAGAGGCAAGAGAGTGCCAGCATAAAGTCTAGTAACAACTTTGCTTGACAACTATTCTGTGTAGACTTAAAATACAGCAGACATCTACAGGGACCAATAAGTGGGTGCAAATAATGTTCTGAACTTGGAATTTTACCTCAGTAGAAATACAGTGGTGCCTCGCTTAGCGATTGCTTCGTTTAACGATGAAATCGCTTAGCGATGACTTTTTCGGAGCGATCTTGCGCTCCGTTTAACAATGGTTCCTATGGGCGATTTTCGCATAACCATGTTTGGGACCATGCTTCGCATAGCAATGACGGTTTGGGTCCCCCTGTTTCGCTTAACGATGGTTTTGACAGCCTCATATTGGCTGTTTTTTAAATGTTTAAAAATGTTTAGAATGCTTGAAATCATAAGTGCACTTAATAAAACCTTTGTTAAACTAATTTGACTTTGTTTCGACTCTTTTTAAATTTGTTGTAATTCTTCCCCCCATTGAGATGCATTGAAGAGGTTTCAATGCATTTCAATTGGGGAACCATGTTTCGCTTAGCGATGTTTCCTATGGCGATTTTCGCTTAAGGACGTCAATCCGTTCCCATTGGAACGGATTATCCGGTTTTCAATGCATTTCTATGGGAAACCGTGTTTCGCTTAGTGATGAAATCGCTTAACAGCAATTTTTTGGGAACCAATTATCATCATTAAGCGAGGCACCACTGTATGGCTAATTATTGCACAGTATCTGACAGAAAGCTAAATGAGAAAATGTGAGAGTGTAAAGTATACTGAAGGCAGCCCTTACAGTTTAAACAATTTCAAATTTTAAAAAAAGATGTTTTATTCGTATGGCATGATTCCATGTTTAGTACTCCTCTCCTGCATCTGCATTACCTGCCTATTTTCACTAGACCTGGTGGGGATTTCTGGCAGCCCATTTGAACTCCTTTGATTTGAAATTATGTGAATAATATAAAATACATAGTTTCACTTTTTTTCAGCTGGCAAAGTTACAATAAGTAGAAGAGAATTCATAAGGATAGAACATCTTGAAGACTTAACACTTTATCTGTGGAATGAGTAGCTCCATAAATGTCACTGTTTGTGTGAGGCCAATCTATCTAAGCCTATGATTATAAATTTCATTACAGTGGTGCCTCGTTTAACTATTACCCCGCTCCACAATGAAATCATTTCACGACAATGTTTTTGCGATCGCAATACGATGTTTAAATAGGAAAAACCGCTTGACGATGATCAGTCCCCTACTTCGGGAACCGATTGTTCACTTAATGACAATCAGAAAACAGCTGATTGTTGGGTTTCAAAATGTCTCCCCACTGTGTAAAATGGCTCCCCGCTATATTAATCATGGATTCCTCGCATTACAGGCACCAGAAAATGGCCGCCCTATGGAGGATCTTCGCTGGACGGTGAGGTATTTCGCCCATTAGAACGTATTAACCATTTTTAATGCATTCTAATGGGTTTTTTATTTTCGCTTGACGACAATTTCATTGTACGGCGATTTTGCTGAAACGGATTATCATTGTCAAGCGAGGCACCACTGTATTTGATTAAAATGTATTCTTAATATAAATGAATTCATCAAATAAGATAATAAAGTCTGTAACTACTATTTAAATAAAACTACAAAGTTCTAAAATGAAAGAAACAGCAGGTGAACTGTGGGAACACCAACTTTGATAAACTCAAACTTTTTAAAAAGCCTCTGATTTTTTTTTTACTCAGATTCCAGAATTTGGATTATCTTGGTACAAAATTTTGATGCATGTGTGACTGTACATTTGTTTTAAGCACATACGACCCACCTACAAATAAATGAAAAACTCATAGTGCCATTTTTATTACACATAGGCATACATAATAATAAACATTGTGAACTGTTATCAGTCTAATAAGAAATATATTTATCACCACTTTGGTAGACCCTTTTTTTGTTTTGGACAATTAAGAGTTGCAAAACTCTTCAACTAATCTTTGTATAATATTTGCATATATGATATTATATGATTAAGTTATTTGAAAACAGAAGTATCTGTTTATTGCCTGGAAAGTCATGTTTCCATTTTTTAAATGTGAATGCTTCCCATTTTATTATTGTAGAACACTGATTACAATACTGTATGAGTATTCAAGATATTTACTAAAGATACCATTGCATTAATGGCCCAGCTTAAGTTTAAGAAAATTCTACTCAATCCTTATATAGCTCTTGCAATTATGTTATTTGCAATTATGTTATAATTACAAGAGCTGACAGATAAAGGAATTGTTTTATATGGTGCCTTTTAAATCTTAAAAGCAGTTTTACTTCTAAAAAAAGAGGGAAAGTTGAACTGCAAATTAAGCATCTTCTCTTCTGTCTATATGAACATTTCAGTTTAGCTGCCTTCCACAAAACTTTTTTGTGCACTTTTTTGAATGAAAAGGCAGTTTGTTTTTTGTGACTGCAATTCTATGCCTTCTCAACTCAGTGAAACTTACTTTTTAGACTCTCCATAAGGGAAATCCCTTAATAAGGCAAGCCATGGCCTTAGTCTGCAAAATCTTAGCCAGGGTGTTAATGACAGACCTGTCGGCCGATATTAATTCATACAGTTGCCTTAAGACAGAAATAAGTCGAGAGCACATACTACTAGGATGACTACTACTACCATCACTTTTCATTGAATTAGTATCTCATGGTTACACTCAACTATCATACTCCAGGAAACATCTACAGCAGGGTCAGGTATTCTCTAGATGCTCTGGATTACAACACCCTCTAGCCATGCTGGCTGGAGCTAATGGTAGCTGCCCTCCAGATATTTGGCCTACACTACCACTGTTCGACAGTATTCAACATCACTTATGCTTCAGTAAAACTTCTCTCATCATAAATGATGAACAAAATTATCCGGAAAGACTACTACTTACAAAATATCTATCATTTTACAAGATGCAGGGTTCTCATGTCACTGTTCTTAAAATTCACACAATAGCTAGAGGTCTCCACTGATGCTGAACTACAAGGACTGCTATACTGCATGTCATTTGACCTTTAAAAGCATGGTTTTACTTTCTTCTGCATTAATATTATCTGCACAGTGATAAAGTGAAAAGTTTCAGAAGCATATTTCTAAAAAGATGGAATCAGCACATGGCTCCTTGAACTTGGACACAGGTCGTTAAGACTCCACTTCATTAGGAAGAAAGTGTAACAAACAGAGCGATGCCACAAAAAATGGTACATATGAATATCAATGTGTTATTAAAAAATAATTTAAAATGGTAACCAGCGCATATGAAAGGACAGAAAGAGATGCCTACCTTTAAACCGACTGCTATAAGATCTGTAACAACACTGTGTGAAAAAATGGGAGAAAATGGAGAAGTTAGAAAAGTAATTATTGCACAGATAGTGGTAAATAAGTGGTAAATAAAGCTAATGGAAGAAAAAATATCAGAAGAATGAAGTGAGTTATGGAGGGTTTTTTTGCAGAACAAATGGAACAGTTTAGTAACACACAGCATGAGGAAAGAAGGGATTCATTAGAACAAGTACCGGTAACTTTACACAAAGTTCACTGAAAGATTCTTGTTCTTTAATCACATATACAAGTATGAGCATGGTAGATTTTTCTTTTCCCTAGCAAATGTATTTTCCATTAAATTTCCACTTCTTTGGGGGAAATATCTATGTTGAAATAAATAGAACTCACATACCACAGCAAATTATTTCTGTATTATGACTATGTCTCCTTAAGTTCAGTAAGGTCACAAAAAAGAATTCAGTTTCTCCCATATTTTTTTCATGCCCTGCCTGTATGCTAGATACCATTGTCATACAGTGACATTACATCTATGTGAGGATCTAGTAGATTAAACAACAACAACAACAAAAGCTGTTTGGCCCTTGTATGCAATTCAAAGGTTACAGTGGTTGACACCTTGAAAAAATTACAATCAGAAGCTATCAAGTAAGGATTGAAAGCTGGCTTTTGTGGGTAATTTTCTAGTGGTGTAATAAAGGTATCACCCACTCTCACCTTTTAGTAAACAGAAACCCTTAGGGAACAGAGTGGCTCTATTGAGTTAGAATTTTCTCCACCCAAAAAATAAAATAAATAAAGACAAGCCAGAGATGCATTTATCTCTAAGGAATAAAATATAATCTTAGTTATTCACTCCCACTTATAGAAAGAGATTCAAATGAGTCTGAAAGACAGGAAACATTAAACCAATATTACGGTATAACTATACTCTTTTCTGAGAAAGTTAGCTTGGTGTTAAAATAATGTAATGCTTATATAGCTGCTAATTACTTCTCTCCCTCCAATATTCAAGTCTATCCCACCATGTAATTTTTTTATCATCAGGGGCTACAGGACTACAAGGCACAGCCTCTTCTGTTAATATGGAGCATCCACACTTGAGGCTTCAAAAGTTAAGATTTTGGGAGAACAAACTGGATAAAGGGAGGAACCAAAGTTGCAACCCTTGAACATTGCTGCCTTGCAATTTCAAAAAAACAAAGTTCCTAGACATCACCTTTATTTTGCTCATTACTGATCCCATTTGGGAGAAACCAACTTCCCTTTTACTCTAGAGAGGACTTGTGTGTTCCTGGCAAGCAGAAACAGACACAATTTTCTTATATTTTGCATGTAGCTGATATAAAACATAGTTACTAATTTTTCCTACATCAGAATGAGAGATAAATCTGGCAAATCAAACAATCAAGCAAAAGATGGGCTGTATCCAATTGTAGGACGGATACTTAGTGGCTATTCCTGTTTGCATTAGCACATACTTGTCACAATACTGATTCCTGGACAAGAACTTTTTGCTAAAATATCACACCATCTGTGATACATTCAACACATAATTTGTGATGCAATCAATGCAGCATTTTTCAGTTACACTAAATGAATAAGGCTTAACTGAAATGATACAAAGTAATACTCAACTGACCACCTTCCAAAATCTTCTAAGTTAAGTATGCATGGGAGATTTTAAATAGATTCATAATAACTGGAGTTATTTTCCTTACAGCCTCACTGCCCTTTTGTTGTTAAGGTTACCAACCACCTTTGGCCAGGCTTGATTAATTTATCAATTTAATAATTAGTGTTATATATTTAAATATGTCAGTGCTGCTTGTATTATCAATGAGTAGATAAAATCAAATTCAAAACTAAGATGCAGTGACTGATATACTGTTGCGTTACTACACATAAAAATAACTTTAAGGAGGCACACTGCCTCAAGTTAAAAGAACTCTATAGATATTATCTTGTTGCATGCAAATGTCTAAAGATTTCTTAACTTGAAACAAATCACCTCCAAAGTTATGCCTTTTGTGTAGCACTGCAACAAGATTTCAGCAAATATGAAAGTGCTGTTATTTCGATGTAACACTTGCCAACATTTCTGACTAATAATAAATCAACTATTATGTCAGAAATGTGCCTCAAAATGGAGCTGCAACAGATTCATAGTACAACCACTATATTACAGCACTACTGAAGCAATTAAGCAATACATTTTATTGGGTCCAAGCTGAGAATACAAAATACATTAGGTGGGCAAAGCTGCATCAGACGTGGCGTCACAGATGTTAAATGACTTTCTATCGCAGCCTCTTATGGTATATCATTCCTTTAGGCACAATGGCTGCTATTCTAATAGATGAAGAAAATAAACAATAGTAAGTTAAGAAAACTGAAAAGTGATAAACAAGGTGGATAAAAATTAATACTTAAAAAATCAAATTGATTTAAATTTTTAAAAATCATTTTTTAAAATTTCAGTTATAAAAAATCAAATTGATGTAAATCACAATTTAAATCACAACAAATCATTTTAAAAATGATTTTATTTAAATTGTCCAAAAATTGTTTTAAAAATTATAATAAATTTAAATAAAATACATACATACATACATACATACATACATACATACATACATACATACATACATACATACATACATACATACATACATACAAACAAACAAACAAACAAACAAATAAATGACAACAAAAATATTGTTTGTTCTGGGTTTTTCGGGCTCTTTGGCCATGTTCTGAAGGTTGTTCTTCCTGACGTTTTGCCAGTCTCTGTGGCCGGCATCTTCAGAGGACAGCAACCACTTAACTAGGGCTTATTTTTGGGGTAGGGCTTATATTATGAGCATCCTGAAAAATCATACTAGGGCTTATTTTCAGGGAAACAGGGTACTTTCAGGTTCATTTAAGAACTGTCAGATCTCACTACAACCACAGCCAGAAAACCAGTGAGTACAGTAGCTTCAGGTCCCTACCACATGTACAGCAAAGAGAACAAAACTGATTCTCTTGATATGTTTACGATTTACTGGAAAGATGAGGAATTGCTAGCTCATCATTCAGAAACAGTCCATGGACACTCCTTTTCAGTTTTTAGCCATGCTTTATGTTGAGAATCAATCCTGTCTTTAAAAAAAAAAAGCAATTAGCCAGTGTTCTCTATTTGAACATAAAGGGCAGGTGGGGTTAACTGCAGCTTCCTGGTGCAAAAGCAGGAAACAAGTCAGCAAAGAAGCTGCACAGAGTTCAGACATTTCCCATTTTATTCAACCAGGATTTTATTCTAAGACAGCCATACTGCCATAGAAAAAAGTGCAACTTACGTTCACCTTTATGACAGAGGTATGGAGAAGAAGTGTTATTAACCTAGCAAGGCAGGTCATTATTGCATTACTCGGAAGAACCAGGTTTTTCCAGTTTGACATATTAAAACTGTTTCACTGACAATTTCTGGCATGCTGTGATAAATCAAGATTTTCATCTGCAATTGCAAACTGCAGCTTTTAAGCCTGAGATGCCTCAGCCCAGCCTCTACAATTCTGGGTTGCCACTATAATGACTCACACAAAAAACAGTCACAGGGGAACAGCCAGGGAAGAGCAGCAAACACTGCAAACCTTTGTCAGCAGAGCTGCTTTGGCAGGTCACAAATGGCCTATAGCTAGAGATGTTAGAGTCCACAAATAAACCATAAAAATAAAAATAAATACTTTTTCTGAGAAATGTATATACAGTGGTGCCCCGCATAGCGAGGTTAATCCGTTCCGGATTAACCTTCGCTATGCGAAAACATCGCTGTACGGGGCAGGAAAAGCCTATTGGAACGCATTAAACTTAGTTTAATTAATTTTTGCTCCGAAAAATGCATTAGGGCTTATTTTCAGGGGATGTTTTATTTTTATTTTCCATGTACAGTGGTGCCTCGCTTAACGAGCGCAGCGTATAACGAAGAATCCGTATAGCGATCCCTTTTTGGGGATCGCTATACGGATCAGCCCCAATCGCCGCACTCCGGCGGCCATTTTGGAGCCGCCAAACAGCTGATCGGCGGCTCTAAAATGGCCGCCGGACGCCCCAATCGTCGCAAAGCGAGTGCGGCGATTGGGGCAGCTCCGTATAGCGATCCCCAAAAAAGGATCGCTATACGGATTCTTCGTTATACGCTGCGCTCGTTAAGCGAGGCACCACTGTACATGGAAAATAAAAATAAAACATCCCCTGAAAATAAGCCCTAATGCATTTTTCGGAGCAAAAATTAATATAAGACCCTATCATATTTTCAGGGAAACACAGTACAGTACTAGAAGGAACCCTAAGGACAATGTCTTCATAAATTTCTATTTCTGTGCCACTTCACAGCAGAACATGATAGTGCCATGCAGCATAAATCAGTGTGTGCCAAACAAGTGGATGTAACTCTTAATGGATCATGCAGGATCATTATTGGCTACCTGAAACCCACCCCACGGAAAAAGTCTATTATTAGGTTGGCATTGCCCCTCAGAAGTATGTTGAGAAATACTAGCAAATAATGAACAATAACATAATACAGCACCAAACACAGCCACTTCATGGACACCAACACCCCCCCACACATAATGACTAACATTAATGAAAAATTTTCTGCACACCTTGCCAAATGGATGAATGCTGAAGAGTGCCTTCCACCAAGACAAGACTATAGCTGGACCATCTGGAAGTCACTTAATAGACTTTGAAGTGAAGTAGGAAGATCAAAGAATAATCAAATAAAATGAGGTTACTTGGATACATGACAAATTTTCTGTGGACAAATTCAACAAACGCAGCACTTATGTGCATGCAATTTATGCCCCACCACATGTACAAAAGATCTAGCAAATAGCCAAGATAACACTATTGAATTAGTCCACTTCTAGTCAAAAATAGTATAATTACCTTAATATTTTAATTTAATTTTTTTACTTATATTTCACATACTTTCATGATTATAAATTGTGTATTCATCAAAGAAAGAAAATTCTAGAGACTTGAC